TCCAAAGAAAAAATATATTCAATGGAGATAATGTAAAAAGTTAAAAAATAATAATAAAGATTTCAGGAAAAACTAAACATAGACAGTAAAACCTAAACAAAAAATATTAAAAACTAAACAGTATATAGTATATAGTAATCTGTCGAATAAACATATACTGTAAAAACTAAATAAAGATTTCAAATACTATCCCTAATCTATCAAATAAACATATATAGTAAAAACTAAATAAAAAATAATATAAGATTGAAATAATCTCCAAAAAATCACCCAAAAGAGTAGGACTTACATACCACTTTAGATAGAGTATTTTTCCTCAAATTTTTTTTTTTTTCTTGGGAGATGAATCTGTACGATTTGCATGTTAAAAAAAAAATAGTATAATCTCCAAAAAATCACCCAAAACAGAAAATATTCTAGTATAATTGAAAGACTAAAATGATCATTATTATTATAGTTAATTTTATCAAATATTGTTTTACAAATCACCGATACAATTTGCTCGTCAAAATTGTTAACATAATTCATTATTTACTAATTGCTGATGATCAAATAAGGTCTATATAGACGTGGAAAAGTAAGAATATATTCCTACAGCTGTTAATTATTCCTATTTAAGCCTTTCATTTCTTTTTTTTTTTGTTGCCCAAAGGTATCCTCCAGTCGATAGTCAGAAGACTAATCCCTCGTCCCTACTGTCAGCACACTATAGGGGACTGGCCAAATGGTTTGTTCTTTTCATTTCTGCAAGACTGCAACACCAACTTTTTTTTTTTTTTTTTTTTTGGAAAATTCTGCAACACCAACTATTTCCAGAGGACCCAGAGTTGTAGACGTATGAGCAATTTAAAGGAGTTGTATCATTCCTTCCAGACAAATACAAATGGCAGGCCCCTGCATTTGCTTTATATCACTAATCTATCATTATATTTGAATGTCTACTTAACTTTTATGGTAGTGATGATGCTGATATATAATATACATATTTCTTGACGCGAAAGACTTTTAATCATTATCAAATGACTTAGGATTTTCAGGAAATTATCTACAAAACGACCAATAATTGTTATACCATGGATCTTGATTAAAGAATTATGTATCTGAAGTTGATATTTTTTTATACCTATAGTTAATAGTTTATATGTTTGTAAATAAATTTTGGACACATAATATAATATGTTAATTATAGACACATAAAATAGTAACTGCAAACACATGAACTATTAACTGTAGGCACATAATATATTACAACATATTATGCATGTGTCTGCAATTATCATATTATGTTTTTGCGGTTAATTATTTATGTGTTTGTAGTTAGCATTTCATGTATCTATAGTTAATCTAAATGTTATTTTTGGACCAAGATCCACAATGTAAGGTATACCGTAATCCAATATAGTATAATTTGCCTTTGGATTTTCAAGAAATTATTTATAAAAATGACTTTGGGTTTTCAAGAAATTATTTAATACATCACTTTGGATTAAGTTCTGGGAAAATTATATCATGAATTTAGATCTATGTTGCAATATAAATCCAAGCCCATTAAAATAATATTGTAAGTTTATAAAAAATTTAGATAAATTAAATATGGTTGTTTCCAAGCCCATATATATATATATATATATATATATATATATATATATATATATATATATATATATATATATATATATATATATATATATATATATAGTGAAAGGTTCCCGTGCGATGAATGCATCCCGTGCGGATGTGCGATGGATTAATGTGCGTGAGATTTGTACACAATGTGCGTGAGTGTTGTGCTTAATGTGCCTGAGATTTGTACTTAATGTGCGTGAATGTGTAAAATGCAGCAGAAAATATTGATGTCAGCTTCTTCCCCATTCCCAGTAGCCATTTGTCCCTCCCTGATGATGATGATGCGGAGGCGGGCTATGGTGGTTAAGAATTATGGGAATAATACAACAGAAATCCACACTTAGCTGCTGTGCAAATTTTACTGTGCGTGCGTCATTTATATAAACATTCAACTGCACTGAAGGTAGCTGATGATCTAGAATTCATGGCCAAATTAAAGGAAGAAGTAAATTGAAGGAAGAAGTAACAAGAAGGTTGGGCCTGAACAGATGCTACGACGATGAACATAGTGCCCTTCTTTTGCGCTACAGCATTGTTGATGCCTTTCAACTTTTCTCAATTATTTGATTGCAATTTGACAAAATAACCGAAATGGCAGGCCCCTCTAATAATTTACAGCAGAACATGCAGCACTGTATATATATCTTATAAAACCAAATTCAGTTCGATCATTATTTGAGTGAGTGACGTATATGGTGGTGATGCAAGACTTGACACGCAATTCACGACCACTCACAATTATTCTCTGCAGGTCCGCATCAATATAATGTATGTGTTACTCTTGATTTTTGAATGAATGGATAAAAATGAATAAAATTTTAAATTTGGACAAAATTAGGATAATGCGTTTGACAAATGCAATTTATATGTTAATCCATCCAAAACCCTACTTGCCAAATGCTATTCATATTTTCTCTAAATACATTTTTGAAATTTAAGAAAATATAAAATTGAATATGGCATACGTGTTTGATGTATGGGTGGAACGAGTGAGGTTTGCTAGGGCCGCAGTTAATATTCATTTTAGTATATAGTTGTATGAATCACGATCCAAAAACGACGTCGTTTCACTTTTTTTTTTTTTTAATGCGACCCGCTTCGACATACATTTTTATAACTCATAATGTATATTATTATAACTTATAAAGTACATCATTTTACTTCAGAAGTTTGAAATTTCATTATTCTAACACATAATGTACATTTTATAACACATAAAATACATTATTCTAACTTATAAAATTTAATGACGTCGTAGAGTTTGGACTATAGTTCACATAATAATTTACCCCGCATCATAGAGAATAGAAAATAAGAGTACATGTTCATAGAATTACTCAAAGAAAAAATATGAATAGCCCGCATTTGGCAAATTCAATTTTGCTTTAATTTGGTCAACATATAAATGACTTTTTGGAAAGGAAAATGCTACATTTGTACTCTCAGATACAAAATCTTATGTAGACATTTATGTTGGGACCCACATGAACTTATCAGAATCCGTCATATTACGGAGTAAAATTTAGGGAGTACATGTAGTACAAACTCTTTTGGAAATAAGTTTTTTCTTTTAACTAATTTTATTACAATGTAGTATTTGTTCATACATACTTTCTTAATCTCTCCCTAGAAGCTAGTAATTTAAGCTACTTTACCGAATTGCAATGAGTTTGTCCACTAGCTACATACATTCAAAAGTTGCACATACATCTCAGATCATCTTCATATATATATATATATATATATATATATATATATATATATATATATAGAGTTAATGTCATTTTTGGTCCTAGACTTATTGGGGTGTCGACAATTTTTATCCTCTATAATAAAATTTGCCAGTTAATAACCACTATTATTGATCGTTAGACACTTTTGATCCTCCGTCAGAAAATTCATCTCTTGACCGTCTAATTGAAGGGTAAAGTTGTCTTTTTATGCCATTTTCTTCTAAGTATTCATCTTAAGACTCCGTCAACGTTGCGATAATATCGAGGAAGGCCGCAGAAGTACGCAGAAGGCCGCAGAAGCCGCCTGCGATAATATCCTCGTCGCCGGAACTAGAGCTACCCAACGCCGCCGGACGAAACTTCGGAAATCTACGAACGGATCTTTGGTGAGATTGGTGATGATCATGAAATTGTGTGAAGAAGAATGATTGGTTTTGGTGTCCAGATCCGGAGATAGCAGAGATGAAGAACGATCGAAATTGGCCCCCTTTTTGTACACCCGTCCTCAAACGTATCGCCCGTAATCTGTTCTAACCGGCGAATTCTCGTCCTTGCTTGTTGTCGCTGATGACCCGGACCTCCCAGAGACTAGCGCTGTTAAAGATTGCCGTTCGAAGCAGAGCTTCTCCTAGTCGCAGAAGTACGCTCCGTCAATGAAGCCGCCTGCGATAATATCCTCGTCGCCGCCCCTTGCTCTGCAGTCTGCTGCCGGTGAATCTTTGTCTCCCACCGATACGTAGGCGGTGGAGGCCGCCGCGTCTCCGAAGAAAAAGGGGATGGGCAGACCTCCCGATTTTGGGCGAAAGAACCGGCGCCGCCCTGCGTTTTGCTCTCGAATCGGAATATATATTTTAATCCTCAAAGTCAACTAATCCTCCTTGGATGGAAAATGATTGGGATCGAAAGGCAATCCCCTTGGCCTCAAAGTCAACTAATCCTCCTTGGATTTCTTCCTGGTATCAACTCCCATCTTCTCATAATCTTAGATTCTAATCCCTAATGTTTCTTTGCAAATGCTGGGTAATTGTATTCGTAGACATGAATTGATTATGATACCCTGGAATGGAATCACCTTATTTTTGGAATTTTTTTTTGAATTGACAGTATAGGGAAGGAAGAACATTGCATCTTTTAGTCTTCAGATTCATTCTCGATTTATGTTGAAAAATTACTGTTATTTTTTACTGTAATTGACACTTCGCCTTCGCCTTCTACAGTCAATGTCGAACTGCTACTTTGTATGGGTCTTCCAATTAGATAGCAGTTGCTTCGAATTGGGTAACAAACGGTTCAATTATGGTTGAAATCAACTTCGAATTGGGTAATAAACTGATTGGGGTTGCTATCGTCTTCGAACTGCTGAGTTGAGCTTCGTCTAAGTTGTTTACAAGTAAAAAAATATTTCACTAATAGGATTAGAAGAAGAACGGATAAAAAGACAGGTTTGCCCTTCAATTAGACGGTCAAGAGACGGATTCACTGACGGATGATTAAAAGTGTCCAACGACCAATAACGGTGGCTACTAAATGGCAATTTTTATTATGGAGGATGAAAAGTGTCAATACCCTAATAAGTCTAGGACCAAAAATGGTATTAACTCTATATATATATATATATATATATATTGGTGGTGTATGCAGTATAAATGAAATTCTTCACAAACACAGGGAGAGAGATGGACGATACGGAGAAAAGGCTTTATGAAGCTGCAATTGACGGCAACACAGTCGCCCTACAAGAACTGCTAGCAAACGACGGACTGATTCTGGAGAGGATAACAGTGACTTGTTTCCACGAGACCCCGCTGCACATAGCCGCCATGCGAGGCCACGTTGAGTTCGCAGCTGCAATTCTGGAACGCAACATTCAACTCGCTTCAGAGTTGGATTCCCGCAAGTTATCTCCCCTTCACGTCGCATCAGTGAAAGGGTATGTGCAGATGGTGAAGCTGCTGGTTTCGGCTTGCCCTGAGATGTGCGTGGCGCGCGATCGATATGGCAGGAACCCTCTCCACCTTGCCGCCATGAAAGGCCGGCTTGGAGTTGTGGCAGAGCTTTTGAGGAGTAGACCGGAGGCCGCTCGACAAAGGACTGATTTCGACGAAACTGTTCTGCACTTGTGTGTGAAATACAATCAGTTGGAAGCTCTCAAGATGGTGTTGGAGAGCATAGATGGTGGTGATGATGAGTACGTGAACGCAGTAGATTCTGATGGAAATACCATTTTGCACTATGCTGCTTCTGACAAACAAACTCAGGTATATGTGTGTGTGTTCATATGCTTTTTTTCTTTTTCTTCCTGGCCTCCAATTTATAGCTAGATGGAGTTTCTCTGTTGAGCGGAGGCCAACAAGGGCCAAATCTAATACCATGTGACTAGGGGATTGTTAGGCAAATTCCCTAATTGGTAAGTTCAGTATCCTATATATTATCTTGGCAAATTCCCTAACTGTACTCTCGGAAATGTGTGACGGTATAAGGAAATAAAGTTACACATTCGCTAGCTACAAGTTATAGCTTTTGGTTTAGGGTTGGGGATTCAGCCTTTTGGGGTAAGTTATAGCTTTTGGCAGAATTGTAAGCGCTTGATCTAATAAGTGGTATCAGAGCCAACAATTAAGATTGACGGGTGCTGTTGGGTGGAGGTTGATAAGGACCAAATCCAGGACTATGTAGTTAGGAGATTGTTAAGCGAATACATATAATCGTAAAAAACCAAGTCTAGTACAGTAACTCTTGAAATTAAAATATTTGACTGTATAAGTAAATAAAATTTACGTCTTTGCTATAAACTATAGCTGGATCACGAAGGTAAAGCTATAGGTAACTAATTAACAATATTAAATTAAGTGCAGATTGTGAAAAACTTTGTAAGAAACAAACAAGCAGATGTGAATGGAAACGGAAAAACAGTGATTGATGACACTACATTAGCACAAGAGGAAAGAGAATTATCCCAAGAATGGCTGCAGCTGCCGGAAATTACTGAAGAACCTCCCTCAACGGGCGGAGGCGCCGCCATGGGAGCCCGACACGACACTCCTAACAATCCCCAGGCAACCCATCAAGCAGAAAGGCCGCCGAGAAGAAAGACCGGAGGGGCAATTATGGTGGCGGCCTCAGTCCTTGCATAGATGACATTCCAGGCCGGAGTCACCCCTCCGGGAGGGGTTTGGATAAACAACGATTCCGTTAAATACAAGAAAGTCCCCGTCGGCGGCCGGTCTCCGCCGCCGCACAAGGCGGGGGAATCTGTGATGTCCGATAACCGGCAGGGAGGGTATCAGCATTTCCTGGACGCCAACACGCTAGCATTCATCGCATCCCTCACCGCCGTACTGCTCGAGCTGAGCGGGCTGAACCTGAGATGGATCGACGGGTGTCTCCGGCTGATCATGTGGTTCACCGTTGCCGCTATTGTGGTGACTTACAGCGTCTCCGCCGTGCTCGTCACTTCCCACAATTCCATATCGGACCTCAGCCGAACGGTCAAGATTTGTATAAGCATTTGGTGCATCGTAATGGGTTTGGTTGTCCATGGGAACACCCTTCGCCGTCTTTACATCTCAAAGCCATGGCTGGGAATTGCAAGGCTTGGGAAGAATATAGTGATGCGAGGGAAGAATATAGTGATGAGCAATAATTACTGGAGTCGAGTCCCACAAGCCTAAGACCTGCAACATCCCTTTCTGGAAAGACTGGTCGGGGATTCAATCTTTTAGGAACCATACCGAATGTAGGGATAGGCTGGGCTCGCTTAGCCACCAACCCAGTGTCTTCAAAATAAATATATTTTTCAGTTTTTTTTTTTTTATTTGTCATGGTCAGATCAATTATGTGTTATTTGCTTATTTTCTATAGTATTTCTAAATTTAATTTGGTGTCTTTTAATATAGTTTTTAAATATATAAATTTTATATATTAATATTGTACTTAACATTATTAAAAGTTATATTTGAAATAATAATTTCAGTCAAGTCTTATTAACTGAATTAAACACATAAAATGAGACGGTGAGAGTATATTATAAGAGAGTAACCTCACTCAAAATGACAAGAGATCTACAATTATAACTACAAGATACGAATTTGAATTATTGTTCTCTTAATTTAAATTGATCGGTTTTAAATTTTCTTTGCTGGTTAAAGTCACAAAACAAAATAGCACAAAACTAGAAATTGATATTGTAATTAGAGAAAACGACTCTTAATCTGACGGGCCACACGCTTAACAAATCTACTAAGATCAGATCAATTTTACTTGTACAAGACTCATTGATTTAACTCATTTAAGTAAGGGCAACCCCCATAGGAGGTCCTTCCAAGGATTTTGGAACAGTATAATTTCTTTGGGTCAGCTTTTTACAAACGGGATTGGAGGATTTTGTGAAGTTCTTCCTCCTGCAAACCAAAATTTATTATCAGATTTTATCAGGCTAGTAGTTTTATTTTTAATTTTTAAACAAAGAAAGAATGGTGCTGCCAGTGATCAGAAGTGAACTTCTGCAAAACAACACCGTGATGGTCTTTTGTGAGATTAGTTTCCTTAATTTTTATTTTAATTATATTATTTTTTTAATAGTGCTACCAGTGGACAACGAAATAATGAGATTCAACTATTTTTATTCATTTATGTTTATTATAAATTTATAAATCAAATAAATAAAAAAATAATTAAAATATGAAGATAAAAATGGTGGGTCCATAAAAAATTATGAAAAATTTAAAACTAATGGGAATAAGAGTTTTTGTGATTGTGTGAGATAGTGAATAATGAGATAGATGTTGGAGCCCACAAAATTTTGGGAAAAAATTCTCAATTATTGAGGATGCCCTAATCAGGACTAGCACTTATTACAACACCAATCATGACTTTAAGTAATCATACTATCACGTACGCATTACAACCCCAACTTGACAAAACTGGTAGGATAAGTTAGACAAAGTACAATTTGAGATGGTAGGATAAGTTAGACAAAAGTATAATTTGAGATAATTTAAGGATGTGTTGGTGGGTATGCTACTTATTATGAGTTTTGATATTTATGCTATGGATGTGTTTGGTTCGCATTTGGGAATCGAAATCGGAATCAGAATGTGTATCAAATATTTGGTAATGGTAATGAGTTTTGGTGAAAGTATATTCATTGCATGTTTGGTAGTAGGGTGGAATGAGAATGATTATGCTAAGGATAAATAATAAGATGAAACCCTTATAAAATAAGGGAATGAATTTTTCCATTAATGGGGTATTCAAAACCCACAGTAGTGTTTTAAAAACCAGTCAACCAAACAATAACAATCACTTTCATACCCATACATAGGGATGTCAATTTAGCCCGAACCCGATGGACTAACCCGATAAAAACCGAAACCGACAGGGCTATGATCCGAACGGGCTAGCCCGATAAAACAAATTAGCCCGACGAGCCCGAAATTGATTAGCCCGATACCCGATAGGGCTAGCCCGAAATTAAAAGGGCTAGCCCGACAACCCGAACTATTGAAAATTATTTTTTATTGTAGAAGTGATGTGAAACCTAACATACATAAAATAATTATTATAATTAAAAAGAAATAAATAAATAATATATATATATATATATATATATATATATATATATATATATATATATATATATATATATATATATATATATATATGCCCGAACCGATTAGCCCGACAACCCGACAGGGTTAGCCCGAAACCGGGTGGGCTGGCCCGATTGACATCTCTACCCATACATGAGTGCTAAATCTGCCAACCAAACACACCCTAGTTTGATTCGCACATGGGAATCGGAATTGGAATGGGTAGCAAATACTTGGTAATGGTAATGGGTTTTGATTAAAGTATTGGGAAAATGGTCAAATATCCCCTCGAACTTTAGCTTAAAAGTCAATTAGGCCCCTAAACTTTTTGAAGGTTCAATTACACCCATCAACAATTCATTTAGGTGCAATGAAGCCCCAAATCAGGTTAATGACCTGCTATCACAGGTCATTAGGGTTCAGGCCACCTTCTGACGAATTTTCCGACAGAAAAAAAGTGACCAGCGGCCGACCGACGAAATTTCCGACAAGAAAAGAAGTGTCCAGCGACCGACAAACGGTCGCCGGTCACAAAGAATGTCATTTTTTTTTGTCGAAAAATTTGTCGGAAGGTGGCCTGAACCCTAATGACCTGTGATAGCAGGTCATTAACCTGATTTGGGGCTTCATTGCACCTAAATGAATTGTTGATGGGTGTAATTACACCTTTAAAAAGTTTAGGGGCCTAATTGACTTTTAAGCTAAAGTTTAAGGGTCTATTTGACCATTTTCCCTAAAGTATTTTGCATGTTTGGTAATAGGGTGGAATGAGAATGATTAGGCTAAGGATGAATAATGGGATGAAATCCTTATAAAATAAGGGAATGAGTTTTTCCATTAATAGGGTATTATAAACCCATGCATATTAGTGTCCAAACAATAACAATCACTTTCGTAATCATACCTGAGTGCTAAACCCACCAACCAAACACACCCTATATTTGTTTGTCTATTTTTATTATCTTACTATTGGAATCAAATTCTTTAGTAATTACAAAACTCAATAACCTTTTACCCATCTACTTTTAAACAATGGAATAAAAGATAATAGAGAAAAATGAAAAATAAAATAAAATAAAAAGGTCATTGCCCATGTATTAAATATGGAATTTTAATATATCTATACAAAACTAATAAGAGGCTCCTAACGGAAACTAAAAAATGTTAGGTGTAATTGTTTGTTAAAATGAATTGTTCATACTACTTTACTCTCTATTATATCATTTACTTTTCTTAAATACACATACATTCCGTTGGTGTAAACTTTAGTAACAGAATATTCCGTTAACTATTTATTATTCTTAAATTATTTTCATAAGGAATGTCATATGTTCGAACCCCATCTCATTCAAAATTGACATAATGTTAAGCATATACTATGAATATGTTAGAGTGTATAAAAAATACAATATAAAATTTAACATAAACTTTGGTCAATTAATTAGAATCACGCATTGGGCATTGATGAAACGATACACCTAATTTATAGTATATATTCAACACAGATGAAAAATCATGTCTATTATCATTGTCTTTTGGGGGAAAGAGGATTTGGTTATGTTTTTGAAGCACACTAGGAGATTAGATTAAATCAAGAATTCATTTATGGCGAAAGTGGCAACAAGAGAAAGCATGGATCACGCTAATTAATAGGGGTTTGTACTCAAAAAATTATGCTTGTGTACTATCCAGTGAGAGTGTTTTCCTCTAAAATTGGTATTGTCATATTTATGCATTCTTGAAATATTTACTTTTATGAAAAAAATTATGCTAAAAGTGCAATATCTTGAGTTAATATATATCACCTCCATTAACGTTTGAACCAACAACCTCCCATATGGAAGAGCAATTCAGTGTCACTAAACCACAAGGTCTTTAGCTCTAAAACACTAATTTAAAAGTACACATTGGCATTGGACCATTGTGGTAACTAGTAACATCCCATATGAAAGCGCAATTTAATGTCAGTAAACCACAAGGTCTTTAGCTCTAAAACACTAATTTAAAAGTACACATTGACATTGGACTATTGTGGTAACTAGTACACACACACGCGCGCGCACATGCACGCACGCACGCGCGCACATATATTATTTTCATTTTTATTTTATTTTTATTCTAATTTATATTTACTACCCAACAAAGTGACTCATTATACTTTAACACATTATAATTACCAAGTATTCGATTCCATTACCATTCCGATTCCAATGTTTGAAGTAAACAAACCCTAAATGATTCTACAAATTGATTTCAGACTTGAAGTTTTCTAAAAAAGTTTAAACGAACCAAAACATGTTAATCAATTTTCTATTATTATGATTCAGAATAACACCAAACATGTTAATTAATTTTTTCTAAAAATTATAATCATCAAATATATTCTTTAAAAACATTTTCTCAAGAATTTAATTGATTGGAAAGTACCAAACCCCTCATACAATTTTTTAAAGTCTCTTCCTTTCACAAACAGAATAATTCCTTTTTTTTTTTTTTTTTTTTTTTTTTTTTTTACCTATTCTAATTTATTCCTGGCCCATGGACCTGAATTTGAAAGGCTGCTGCC